ACTTTTTTAAGCCAAAAAAAAACAAAAAAATAAGGTATTTTTTTTAGACATAAAAATAAAAAAATTAAAATTAATGTACTGGAAAATGATAATAAAAAATATATAAAATTAGCCAAAAAAAAGTTAATATAAATGATTAAATAAATAATTTTAAAAAAATTCAAAAACTAACCTAACCGTAAAAAGGTTGTATTATATGATCTGGGGAGGGGGGGGGGGTAGGAAGGGAAGTGGCTGATGACTGGTCTACTAGAGATTTTCTTTAAAAAAAAAGACGTTTAATATTGTATCGTTAGCAATTTCTAGTAATATATCGTGACTGAAATATTCTTTACAGTAAATGTTTAATTTGGTGCATTGGTGGTAAGGGTAAAATCATATTCATTCAGAGGAAGCTAGGCTCTTCCAAGGTATTCATCCATAGTCCAGGGATAAGATGACAAATATGGATAGCAGGCTTGCAAGAATAAAAAAAATATTTATGATCGTAGCAAAAGCTAGTTTTGAACGCGAAAATGGTATATCATTTATTTTTCTAGCCTAGTTCTGTTCTAAGAATCTCTCACTAAGCAGGCCAAATCGTTAATAAAATGTCGGACTGGTCCAAATTTCTAAGAAACGATTCAATTCCTATTCTTCAATTCGCAAAAAATAAAATAAGATAAACAGATGGATGCCCTTAGGATACAATTTTAGGGAAATGATTAACACCTTTTCTAAAGCATCCAAAAAATTCACGTGATCATTGCAATGACATATAAATAATACCTAGACTAACGATGCATTCATTAAAGGTGTACATCAATGAAAAACAGCTGAGGACGCCATTTTGGTTACCCATATCATTATTAAAAAATTTTAAACGAGAGGCTAATTTAATCCTAGAGAATAGCCTGATCATCGAGATAATGAGGAAGCAAGTCATTTAGGTAGTTTTTAACATGAGAATAATTACTATACGAGTTACCAAAATGGCGGCTCCAGCTGATATGCATTCAAAGACGCTTCCAAATGCATTATTATGAATGCGTCATCAGTCTAGGTATTATAAGTAAAAATTTGTTAACATAAATTTAGGATTTTTTCCGTATGAATGGATAATGAATTTTCAAATATGGATTTATTGATTATCTTGAAAGTGCGGATATAAGAACTAGTACGGGTAGGTGATCATCTGTGCGTTGGTATTTTTTTTTTTAAATCTTACGTTTTTATTTTAGGTTCTCGCACAATGCCAAATACAAAGCCAACAAAACCCTTCCAATAATCAAAACTTTTATTTAAGTGGGCATGGGCTTTTTTTTATGCCTATCATCTTATTTACCATGGGCGTTTAAGTAAGCGTTTTGCTTCTTACGCGGGCACACACGTAACTGTGGCCTGCCCAATAAACGTGGAGGGCCCTTCTCCATTTCCCGCCATTTTTTTAAATCCCAGTTTGATGTTTCTGGTGTAATCAAACGTTGACAATACCAGGAAAACCTTTTTTTTTTAATATTTATTTTGGCTTTATAACAGACAACCAACAATCTCTTTCAGAAAGAAAGAAAGAAAGAAAGAAAAAGAAAGAAAGAAAGAAAGAAAGAAAGAAAGAAAGAAAGAAAGAAAGAAAGAAAGAAAGAAAGAAAGAAAGAAAGAAAGAAAGAAAGAAAGAAAGAAAGAAAGAAAGAAAGAGTCAAAGGCAAAATATCCTAAATAATCAAGTAAAATCATGATCAATAAATTCCCGATTCACTAAAAAAGAAAATTAATCAGAATCGTCCTCAAAAGATTTTCGTTAAAAATATTAAGATAAATATATCTCAGCGTCAACGCGTTAAAAATCTGATTTTACCGGAAATGGATTTCGTCATGTTTGGATTACTCACCTTACGAATCTCGGATAATTTTGCCGCGAACCTTTGAACTCAATATAAAATTTTTCGTATATATTATAAATTACCCAAAAGTTAACCGCAAAATTGCCTACAATTCATGAGATCGGTATTCCAAACACGAAGGAATCCATTTCCGGTTAATTAAAATTTTTAAATTTAAAAATAACGCGCCCAAAAAATTGATCAAAGGTCCTAAAAATAACACATTGAGGCTAGCATATTTTTATATATATTAAAAAAAAATCTAAAAAAATAACTTTACTACTTATTAAACATAAGGGGGGGGGGGGGGAGGTCTAATAGACAAGTAAATAATTTCTATTTTTAAAAATATGAAATTTAAAGGGAAAAAAAAATTCTTTGCCCATCTTTAATAACAACAATAAAAATAAGGGAGTAGGGGGGGGGGGGGGGGGGTAAATATTTTAAAAATTGTTCCACGTGTGTGGTGGAAAATAGTTATAATCAAAATTTTTTGAAAAACCATGCGTGTCCTAAAAGACTCGTATTTAGTATATTTGGGTAATTACTATATTTTTAACCGTTTACGCCAATTTTTGGTCGGCTAAAAATTCGCTAAACCTAGTTTTTACCCTGAAGAGAGTTTTTCTTACAATATAGCCACTCGAATTTTGAAAGAAACTGATAGAAAAATAGGCCTTATCTTTAACGGGGCTTCTCTGGGACGCGTTTGACCGGAATTAGCCGATATTTAACCATCATTCCAACTGCAATGTTTAGTGAATTAGGTTTAATGAACAACTTGTTGTAATATGTAAATCATTTTGAAATAAAATAGAGGGAAAAGAAGTAATATTCAAATCGATTGTTAAACCGAAAAACGTAACGAATTATTAGATTTTTTGAATAAAGACGATGCAAATGAATAGGAAAAGAAGGTATATATAATCGGGAATATTTTACTTGAAAAAAAAAGAAGGATTATGAATTTACGAACTTAATTTTTAATCTTTTAATTTTAATTTTTTTTATATATAATTTTAATTTCTTATTTTAATTATGATTATGTAATTAGTATTTATATTAATTAATACAGTATTAGTAGTTAATTTATTTATACTATTTATTATATTCTCTAAACTTTCTCAACCACTACATTTGTTGGCCGAAACATTATGTTCTATGGACATGTTCAGTCTACTTAGAATACTAAAATTTTACACAACTTTATAATTGGAATATAATGTATTAAAATCTCGACACTCATTTTAAAAAAAAATTATTCAAATTTGATGAGTATCTTCTAGACTAATCATCAATATTTGTGTCATCTAAGGGTTTCCTAAAAAAATCTGATGTTTAATATTGATCTCAAAATTAAGATATATAAATTAAATTATATTATAAAATTTCCCGGTTCGTCGTCATCCATTGCGTAAAATGAAATTTGTCTGGGTAAGTCTTCGTAATGTAATAAACTTGGACATGTTAATAAATGAATTTAATTAAAATATAATTATTATTTCTAAAATAAAAATTGTATCTAAATGTGTCTAAAAGTATCTTAAACCAGATCAAGATAACTATACAATATTATCTAAAGGTAATCGTTACTTCCTTCTATAAAATTGTATCTAGACACAGATACCATATTTTTGTAACTAGATACTTTAAACTAGGGATCACTTATATTTAATTATCTTTAAATAGAACATGAATATGACCTATTAGGACATCAAGCATAAGTTGAATGCGCTGGCATTTTTGAAATACAAAGAACTAGAAATAATTATCCAATTTAGCAGTATTTGCTATGAAAATAATTTTTGTCACAGCCACCAACACTTATTTAAATTCAAAGAGATCTTCATGATCTCCAGATAACTTGGATAAAATTTTATTACATGATAACTACAATGATACGTTCACTTCGTGTATTTATATTTACATTGTATCCCCATTATAGTGTTTCAATTATCTTGTCATGCATTGCTTAAGTTGATGATTAAATATAAACATTTACAAAAATTTATATTCATATTTTATTTTGTTTTTATGCTTACTTTTGTTAGCAATAAATATAATAAACAAATTTACACTGATTTATCATAATGATGTTTTATTGGAGCAGTATTGCGCTGTTGGCAAAAAAAATGCACACATGCTGCCACCACTGAATAATACGTTGGTGCAAAGGTCTAGGAATGAGTAAACAATATTATAAATAAAAATCAAGAATTTATTCCTTAAAAGAAAATTTTCTGGCAGAGCATCTGGAATAATTTTCACATCCCCTATACATCATTTAGCCAAATTATGTCCTTCAAAATATCTGCACAATAAATTAGTTTTTAAAATTCTGCATATGGGATATAAATCTATAGTAAAAATACCTATGGCTTTTTGATTGAGTATTATTATTTACATAATTTTCAAAAAATAGTTTTTAAATATCTTTTAAATAATTGAAAAATTTATTTATAGGAAATTTTTTTCATATTATTTGTATGAAATACTTTTAAAAAAAAAATTTATGAATATTTAATATCAATATTTTAAATAATTTATTTGTATTTATGTTCAAAATATATTTTGAAAATCTTCCCAAGCCTTCATAAAAGTAACAAGTGATAATAGTTTTGCAGTGTTGTTAAATTAGCTCAATGAGCCAATTTTCAAAGATGGCTAACTTATTATTTTAGCCAGAAAAATATTGTCCATACCTAAAGATTTAGCTAACAGATGTCCAAACCTTTGTCATCTAATCAAAATCTTCAGTCTTGCGTAATATTTTTCCTGGATAAAATATTTAGTTGGCAGTTTTTAAAAATTGGCTAAAATTGAGTCATTTAACACTAGTTATCTGTGATCCTATTTAATTAAAATTAAATCTGTCATATCATTTTTTGTAAAATATTAATTATAAAATAAAAATGAAATTATTTGCCTATTATAAATAAAATTTAGCAAATATTTTTGAAATATCATAATTAACATAAAACACTACCTACTCAACTCAAGGCACATATTAAATAAAGCTCTTATAAATTATATTATACTAGAGAAGATAGTCATAATATAATTATATAAATTTTAATACTTCTAGTTTAATTAATTCCCTTATTTTAAAAATTTAATATAAATAATTTTAAAAAAAGTAACCTGAAAAATATCCATTTGATCTTAATTGATAGATTATAACTGTTGATGTGTTTGATATAGTGGCTATATTAGAAATTTGCTTTTCAAGAGTACACCTATTATTGTATGAAATTAAAGCAATCCATTGGGTGTCTTTACTTCTATTAATTTCTAGTAAGATTGGATAAAACGATATTGGCATAACTTCACAAAAATCATCCTTGCCATATTTATCATAAAATAAAAATAATTTTCCTCTTATATTTTGTTGCAATGGGGATATATAATAAGCATAATAGATCTTTAATTGTATAAATTGTAAAGTTGATCCAGTAAATATGTCATAATTTTGTGGGCTCACAATGTAAAAAGAAATAATTGCATCTTTTGTTGGTTTATTATTATTCAAATAATTATCCTGTGTTATGCTTTTATTTATCAAGCATAGAAGTATACTAACTGAAAAATAGCCAACTTTAATAAGAGTTTTAAACGTAAATGTCATAAGGATTATTTACATAGAGAAAAATATATTTAAGATAATGTATCATATATAAAGATCAGTTATCTATTATTCATGCGAATTATATTTTATTAGATTTAATATAATACCTAAAGTTAAAATATTTATTTACAACATAGTATAATATAAATTAATTAATTAAAGTAATATCGTTGATAGAGTGGGCAAGAGAATACTATTCCATTTAAATATGGTAAATCACGTGAATTAATTTATCATATGTTTCTATGAATGTTCAAGTGCCAAATATTTATTGCTAAACAACACATATGTAAAGTACAAAAAATTTTTAATTCCTATTATATTGCGTATTATTCAAATAGGTATTTTGTTAGGGTCAAATCAAGAATTTCTCAATTATTTGTTTGATGATAACAACAAAATCATTTGAGCTAAATAAGTGATCTGATTCTGTTTTAACAGCGTCATCTATCAACCTATATTTTCCTAAAATTAATAAATTAACGGTCACCTATAAGTTAAATTAAACTATAAATCGCAAAATAAAAGTCTTTTATCTAAACAATAACTGGCATATGCAATAGTTATATTTGTCTCTATCTTATAAAATTTGCATGGGGTTACGTGACAAGTACCAAAATCATAAAATGCTTTATTGAAGTCATGTACATGAAATTTGGTTGGAAATCGGAGGATGATATGGACCAACTGACAACGAAGAATTTCCCATATTTTATATCAATGTCCTGATTTAGTCATTTTTCAAAACCTGTAAACATTTTATTTTTTAATAAATATGGAGATAGATACTAATGAGTTAAAATACACTTAAATTATTTTTTAAACACCGGCCTAATATCGTTTTTATTTTAATATTTGTATATTAATTTTAATTAAAAAGAAAGCGAAATCAATATATATTTGTGCGCCATTCTCAGGATGCCCTTTCTATGATTAGATTTGTAAGACCTAATTGCACCCATGTCGAAAGGTTGAATTAGGGATGTGGTATTTGTTAGTAAAAAAATTAATTTTATATTATTAAATGTTAACGGTAAAATTTTCTTTATTAATGAGGAATCCCATTCTCTTAAGATATCTTCAAAAGTTTAAGTTGTCAACCAATGGCATTTGTTAGAATATTATTTCACTAAAAAATTTTATATTTAAAGCACCTAGGGTTTTTTAATTTTAATTTTCCTGCAACATATGACTTTTTATCAGATCTTATGAAAAATAGAACTGAAACCTTTTCCTTGACTTTCACTAAATTCCATTGTGCCTTTTGACAATATTTCGTAGTATAGGCCTGTCTTATCACAATTGTAAATACTATTCCTTTGAACATATTTAATCAGAGATGTAAGTGAATTTTTGCTTCATTCATTTGCATTAATGATATCTGTCCTTTTTTTTTCATTGCAAGCATTATGAATATTTATATTCTGCCATCTCTGCAACCAGCTGCTAGTAGGAATGCCTATAATTTATAAATAAACTTATTATAAAAACTTGAATTACCTTAGTTGAATGGTCCATAGCGTTTTCTAACATCACTGGCCTATTTAGGCTGAAATTTTTACTTCGCTTTGGATAAACCAAATCAATAAAGTTACTTTTGCCATTGGGTAACAACTCATTCTAACTTTTTTAGTTGCAATGGGTTTATTTCTAAAAAATTGTGTGCACATACTTGCTTTTTTACAATCTGTAAATTGGGGAAACTTGACATTTATAATTAAACGCTAATTTCTTTATGAAGTAGTGCTTAATTATTCAATGATTTTCCCCTTTTTGCTTGAGGGTTAACGTTAATAATGATGTTTTATCCTCATGATTATAATGTTTAATAAAATTACCATTTTTGTATTATAAAGTTAAGGGTGCAGTTCATGTAAAAAAAAATCGAGAATAATTTTTCACGATAAAATATTTTTATTTTTTCACTTATCCGATTAAATTAACGCTATTGTCATGTATATGGGACCTGAAAAACCTCGCAATTATTTGATATTTTTCAATTACGATTCGCAATTATATCCTTAATTTAACATTAAGCCATAGATTTTTATAATAATAGCGGGGTATTAAGCGATATGCAATTAAATATTTACTAGAGGGAAAATTTTTTAAAGTAGAAAAAAACGAAAATCTGATTTAACCGAAAAATGTATTATAACATATGTTGAGGAGTGCTTTATAAATTTTTAATATGTGCATGGTTTCTAATTTATACGAAAAAAAAAATCATTGAGCGTTAACATTTTCAGAAATTTAAAATTATTTGGATTGACATTTTGAGAAAACAAACCAGACTGGGACTGACTGATTTTTGGACAACAACCCGAAATATTTTCGGACGGGGAAGGGTCTGGATTAGTGTTGTTAAACGGCTGAGCCGATTTTTTAAAACGCCAACGATTTTGGTTATAGATGCCATAAAGGTTTTCGAGGTTTTAGGCGATATTTTTCTGGCTAAAATATAGAGTTATCCGTTTTTAAAAACCCCTCAAATCGACCCGTATAACAACACTAAAGCCAATTCCCTTCAGAATATTGGTACCCGATCTATATTCCTATAATTAAAATTATCCCTAAAAGAGTTCAAAATTCCTTATAGATCCCTAATTTTGAGTTTAATATGCCTAAAGAGAGTTAAGTAGTTTAGATTAAAGATCTGCAAAAGTAGACCCGGCCCGTACCCAGCTCAAATGGGTTTCTGGCCTGGCCGGGCCGGTCAATATAAAAAATTTCGGGTGAAGCGGGGCTTGAAAAATTATGCCCGATGCAGATCTCTAGCTTAGTTTTCCATATCCCATAAAAACAAAAATATGCTATATACTTTTTCTATTTAATTTTTAAACCCAAAATCATAATAAAAAAACACATATGATAAATTTTAAATTACAAATTTTTACAAAAATAAAAAAAAAAAATAAAAAATTGAATGTTATAAATTAAATCAATAAAAATAAACAAATTAAAAACATTAAACATTAAACATTAAACATTGCTTGCTTTTTTTGGCGGGAAGGGGAGGGGGAAGTTTATTGGAAGGATTTAAAAAAATTTGTAACCAATGGTAGATAAGTATTAAATTTAAATAATCTTAACTAATTAAATATGTCGTTCCTGCTCTTCCAATTTCAAAACCTGGGCCGTTAAATTTGAATCCGGAGCTTTATTAACGCCCTCTACCGCTTTAAATTTGGAGTCCACTTTGATGTCCGTTATCGAATGTTCGAATGGGATTTCCATGACAGGTTTTTTGGCCTGCGACGTTTTTGTCGATGGCTGCGTCAACGTTTTCACCTTTTTCTGCGAAACCATGGCGAATGGGGTAGGGAAACCTTCAGCTTTTTTGATGCTAGGTGGAAGATGCAAAGCCGGGGGTTCAGCGGCACTTTCGCCGGCACTTTCTTCGCTTCCCCCATCTTGGGTCGAAGAAATGATTGACGGGGATGGCGGAACAACTTCGCACGGGACGGGTGGCGGTGGTGGCGGAGCGGGTGGTAATGAAGCCGGGCGAACCGGAGCCGGCTGCTTAGGCGGTGGTTTTTTGAAACACTTGAAACAATTTCCCATCACATTTAATCAAAATATTCGTAGCTAAGTGTGATGTTGTTGATGTTAAGTTTTTTTTTAAATATAATTTTGTCACGATTAGTTATATCAGGAATTATCTTTGACGAATGAAAGCTCTATTCTTCTTACCAAATCGGTTCATTTTTTTTTGTATTTCCGGTTTTATCAGTGATAGGATTGATGGGCATTAGTTTATCTAAAATAATCTTTGCAAATGGGATAAGAAAATCATTAAACGTATAATACTATTAATCTTGAAAAAAAAAATAAATATTGAAATTAAGAACGTAATTAATTTTTTAGAATTTATATATTCCATTGTTGATTAAAATGTATTAAACAAATAATTTCATAATATGAGAATAAACGGGCTGTGAAAAAACTATAATCATAATAAATCTTGGCTGGAACAATCTCTAGAACATACGCTCTAGAAATGCGAAGCGAACCGTATATTAAATTATTTAACGTGCAGCCAAACGGTGAAGATGGAAAGAAAAATGTATTTTTTTTAAAAAAGTTACATTTTAAAAGTATCTATTTTCTGATTTTTTTTATAAAAATTTTCACATATAGAGTAATATCATTTTAATTAATGGATTGATGAACTTTGCCACCTACATAGTGCGGTGACCAACTGATTAATTCGATATTTAGTTTATAACTTGAATAAAAAATACGAGGAATCGAAACAAAACGTAATTAATGCAATATTTTAACTATTAATATGTAAAAGGTAAAATAATTGCTTATAAGATATGGTATACATAACGCAAAAAGAAACTTGACTCATGAATTTAATTGGACAATTATTATATTTTTAGCCCGTTTACTCTAAATTTTTAACCGGTTATAAAAGCAGCTAAATAAAGTTTTTATACCAGAAACTATCACATTGGCCTCTTGGGTTTTTTTTCTTAAAAACATAGCAGTTCCAGATTTGAAAAGAAACTAATATAAATTAAAACGCCCTTAATGTTAACGGATTTTCTCGTGGCTCCCGCCTGAAGATTGAGCCAAATTAACCGACATTTAACTATTACTCTCAGCTATAATCAGTAGCTTCGATTCAGTGAAGATTCGTCCGCTAAATCTTTCCATGTATAACAACCCCTTTCCATAGTTGCGAATCGCATTTCTTCCATGCTAAGGTGGGGGAAGTTTAAATGTATTAATGAGGGTTTTGGGGTTTATTTTGTATCGTGGCGGCTATGGATAAGGATTGTAAATCAG